GAAAAAATCTTAAACAGAAGGTGGTAGCTGGAGGTGCTTTCACCCAGAGCCAGAACCACCATGCGAGAAGCACTGGTGAAACCTGGGGACACACCATCACAGTGAAGCTGGTGGCTGGGCAAGCCCAAAGGCCTCAGTGGGGAGACATAGTGGCAGAGGGGAGCAGTGGACTGGAGAACTGCACTGGTTGGAGGTGACTGTGGAGGACTCTGTCCTCTCGCATGAGTGGGCGATTGGCTGGGGGCCATTTTGGAGTTGGGCAGGATAAGCCAGAACTTCAGCCCCTTTCATTCAGCCACTCCTAGCTTTGAGCAGAGTGGAAGAAATTGCTTGGACTGAGGCCCCACCCTGTGTACAGTTCAGTAGCCACTGCTGGGGTTTTCCTAAAGCTGTTCTCAACCTTCTCCACCTGTCCTGTGCATACTAATGTGGTGAGGGCACCTTGCAATTAATCCCCTCAGGAGGGAGGTGTCAGCCTTCCCCACCTCTGCTTGCACTCCACCAGCCACTGATAGCCTTACACCAGTGCACCCAGTGATCACTGTCCGATACCCCTAGCCAGCACATTTCAGAGAATTTAAGCCAACACAGGAAGTGCAGGGACCCCACTACCCTATTGTCTGGAAGAAACCAGGAATATGCCGAGAGAAAGAAGCAAAAGGCAGTCTCTGGCCTCAATCCCAAGTAATACTGTTCCAGGAAATGTAAACACAGAAGAGAACAGGAGTTACACACCCTAAGTTTCTCAAGCAACAGCAACCGAAATAAAGAAACAAGTTCAAGAAGATATAAAAGAACTTAAACAGAAATGAGAAACATAATAAAAGAATTCCTAAGAACCTCTAAAGGAGACACAAATGGAAGAACAGAGGAGCATAAGAAAATGAGGGAAATCTGCAATCTTAAATGAAACAGATTTACCAGGAAATTAAAACTCCATTGGAATCTGGCAAACCTGCTTGAAAGAAATTAAAGACAGACTGTCACACCTTGAAGACAGATTTGCAGCTTGTAATCACAAAAGGAACGATCTCTTAAAAATAACAAGGAACCAGGAAGTAACAATACAAAGGCTAGAAGATGACAAGAGGAACTATAACTTAAGAGTAAAAAATATGAGCAAAGAAACAGGGATAAATACAAATACAATACAAAGGCTATTTACAGAAATATTTAAACTTCCCAAGCATAGGAAAAGGAAATTATATTCAGATAAGTGAGCATACAGAACTCCAGCCAGCTATAACCAAAATAGATCTACACTCAGACATATAATAATCAAGGTCCCAGAAATTCAGCACAAGAACAGAATATTAAAAGGTGTCAGAGACTGCTGGAGATTTAACTCAGCGGCATAAGCGCCTGCCTTGCAAGCAGGCAGTCGTGAGTTCGATTCCTGGTACTGATAAAAAGGAAAAAGACAAAAAAAAAAAGCTGTCAGAGAAAGAAACACATCACCTATAAAGGAAAACCCATCGGAATCATGACAGATTTTTTGACACAAAGAAGATAACCTCCAACCCAGATTGATGTACCCTGAAAAACTATCTCTCAAAATTAATGGACAAACAAGATGCTTCCTTGACAAAGATGAACTGGGAGAGTTCATGACTGCCAATTTACCCTTCCAAAAAATACTGAAGGACATTCTATAGAGAAAGAAAAAAGGCCATGGTTTCAGAAACAGTGGCAGGGGGGACTCATTGTGAGCAGACGGTGGAATGAAGGGAAAAATAAGCAACCAATGGCAGAAAATAGCATGGCAGAGATGAAGTACAGAATGTTGGCCCTAATCACTAACATGAATGGCCTCAATACACTAGTAAAAGAAACACAGGCCCAGTGGATCAGGAGATAGAGTCCATCCAGATACTGTATATAAGAAATATAATTAACCTGAAAAAGGGTTTATGGACTGAAAGTCAAAGATGAGAAAATAATGCTGTATGTGACAGGGAACCAGAAAAAAGTGGAAGTAGCTCACCCATCAACTGCAGATTGGTTGGAAAGACAGTAACATTTTTATGCAATGGAGAACTACTCACTATAAGGAAGGAAAACCTTGAGGATCTTATAGGTAAATGGATAGAACTTGAGATGAAGCTCAGGAGTAAAAAGGTTCAGAACCACTTAGGTAAATAGCAGGTTACCTCCCTAATCTAAAAACTTAAGGAGTTAGTGGGATACGAAATGTACAATGTACCCTGCAAAAGTGAAAAGTGGAGGAATTGTCTAAAAAGGGAAGGCAGAAGACATTGTTAATCTTGTATCTTGATTTGAAATCCATATTGTTTTCATCACTCTGTTTAGTTAGGTTATATCCTGTTCCAGTTTGTCTACTTGTACTAAAGTTGAGGGCATAGACCTCTATTTCAAAGATAGCAGGATAGTATGGTAACCATTTTTGATTTCCTATTAACTTAATTTGAATCCTTGTATTGCTTTCACTCTTCTGACTGATTGTATTTGAATCTGTATTTGAACACTGTCTTGTTTTGACAGATTGTATTTGAATCTTTTTTTTTTTTTTTTTTTTTTTGTAGTATCAAGTATAGGCCACAGGTATAGGCCACACTTTGAAGACAATAAGATTCACTATGATACCTATTCTAGTTTGACTGTTAATTTCTTTTGAAGTCCTTTAATGTCTCCACTGTTTCATTTTTATTGATATTGTTCTGTACTGTTTTGTGCAATTTTATTATCCCTGATGCTAAGAGTAATTCTTCTGAAGTTAACAAAAGGCATTATGGTAGCCATTATTGATCTCTTTGTATTATGTTTTCAAGTCATGTTCCATGTTCATTTTTTTGTTTTGATTGTTCAGTTTTATTCTCTTCAAAATAAAAAAATAACTGGAGTTCTTGCTTATCAGTACTATGCAAAGTGAAGTCTATACACATATACATAGATACGTGCATATTTATGAGTGCACATGTATTAAATATTATTTATTGATTTATTTTTTGGGACAAATTCTCGCTGTGTAGTTTAGATTGGTGTTGAATTCACTGGTTAGCCCAGGATAGCCTCTCTCTTGTGGCAGTTTACTTGCTTTGGCCTCCCCAGTGCTAGGATTACAAATGTGCATCACCATGCCTGGCAGTTTATCTGACTTTTTTTCTTAACTATTTATTCATATATATACATATGAGTGAAAAGTGCATAATACCAAAGAGGCTAGTTCTGTGAATTTTTCAAATTTAACACTATATATTTAAGTAACTGGTCAAGAAATAGAAACTTACCAGTACTCAGTCTGAAGTCCCCATTGTGTCTCTTCTGTTGCTAAATATTCTATTCTCAGGGTAAATGTTACCTTTACTTTGAATGTCATAGGTTTTGTTTTTTTATTTTATTTTGAATTTGTACAAATGGTATAGCACAATATGTATTCTTTGTCTCTGTCTTTAGCTTACATTATGAGATTTATTCTCCTTTTTGTACAGTTTTTCATTGTATGAATATATATACTCATATATGTAATATTTGCTTAGTTCCTCGTTTTTGAGTATTTTGATAGTGATACTACAAGCATTGTAGTTCATGTCATTTGGTAAATAGATGTATACATTTTTGTTAAATACTTAAAGTGTATCCAAGGTCAAAGGATTGCACATTACTTTTAGTAGATGTTACTAAACAGTATTCTGAAGTGTTCTAATCACTTTGCAATCCTACCAGCAGCAGATTAGGAGACTTTTGGATCAATATGGTCTGCTACTGGTTTTTCTATAACCAATGAGTTGACAAATAGTTGTTTACATTTTAAATGGTTAAAAGAAAAAGAATTTTATTTGTGACACATAAAATTATATAAAACTGAATTCTGAGTGTTCATAAATAAAGTTTTATTGGAATGTAGACATCATTGTTGGAAAATATATTTTCTGTGGCTTCTTTTATGTTGCAGTTGCAGATTTGAATAATTGTGGCAGACTGTATGACCTACAAAGTCTAAAATATTTTCGGTATTGCTCTGTACAGAAAAGCTTTGCTGACCTTTGTCCTATACATGCTTGGCAATAAGTAGTCTTTTCAGTATTTAAAAATTTTAATGAGTGTATAGTTCTAAATTGTGACTATTTGTAGTTATCTGATGCCTAATTATAGCTAGCTCTTTTTTTTTTTTTTGTGGTACCAGGGATTGAACTCATGATCTTGTGCTTGCCAGGCAGACACTTATGCACTGAGCTAAATCCCTGACCCCAATAGCTAACTTTTTTTGACACTACTGTTTTGCATTTGGATATATGATCTTTTCCTTATTCAGTTTTATTTTTGCCCATTTGTCGATTGAACTATTTTCCCATTTCTAATGATTTGTAGGACCTATTAGTTTTAGAAATAGGCTAATGTCCCAAATCTCTTTTGCTCATCTCTGTCTCTTTGATACCAAATTGTTGTTTTGTTTGGTACTGGGGATCGAACTCACAACCTTGTGCTTTCTAGGCAAGCACTTGAGCCACTGAACTAAATCCCCAACCCCTTGTCTTTGTCTCTTACTGTCTTTATTTGTATATCTGTCTATGGCAGATAATTTTATTGCTGTCTCTGGCTTGCTTTTACATAATCTCAGTAGTATTTTGATTATCAGAAAGGTATTATGCTTTTAAAGAAATAAATTGGGTTCCTATTACAAAGATATGTAAGGAACTAGTAGTTAAATTTTCTTGCTAAATTTCTAAATTGTCCAGGCTGTCTTGAATTTTTGATCTTCCTGTGTTGGCTTTCTAGAGTGCTGGGGTTGTGGGCCTACACCAACTTTATCATTATTTTATTGTTATTATTCTTATTTTGGTAGGGAGATAGAACTCATGACCTTGCGCTTGCCAGGCAGGTGCCTATGCTAAATCCCCAGCCCAACTTTATCATTATTGAAAAGAGAATTTGCCCTTAGTAATTTGGAGAAATGATTAATTCATATTTTCATTGAAGGAAATTAATTGTGTAAAGTATCTGGTACACAATTCTTCATTAAATTTTCATTTGTATTTTAGAAATTAAGGATGAAAATGAAACAATATTGAATCATGAAGAATTAGCTTCTCTGGAGGAATATATTCCTACTCGACATACAAGTGTTACTCTTCTCAAATGTACCTGTACAATTTTCATGGCTGAATTCAACTTACTAGATCATTTACTTCCTATCATCATGGGAGAAAAGGTATATTTGCAATTCATTACTTTTTAAAAATTTATATATACAGGGCTGGGGATTTAGCTCAGCGGCATAAGCACCTGCCTTGCAAGTGGGCAGTCGTGAGTTTGATCCCTGGTACCGATTAAAAAAAAAATTCATATATACGTACTTTTGTTTATTAAATAAAAGAATATGTGCTTATATAGTTACCTGTGATGGAGTTAAAGCAATTAAGTATGATTATTAATCCTTAGTAATTTTAAATATATATTTTAAAAATACAAGGCAAGATCATATGAAGAAATGTTGAAGAGTTTTGAACTAAAGAATCTTAAGCCATTACGTCACCAACCCTCATTCCTTTCTTTGGAAACAAAATAAAATTATAATTTAGCCAATATGTATTACTTACCTACACAGCAAAAACAAAATCAATAATGCTGTGAGTTTCCTACATCCTTTGTCTTATAGGTAACACAGCAACCAAAGGGTGAAGTAATTTAAAACATGAGTAGCGGAGTACCTGTTTGGTAGAATCAGCCTTATACTGGGTATCCCTCAGCTATGCTCTCAGGGTGTGAGGTGGGTGGAAAGCCCTATATCTCACCTGAATGAAGATGGTGAAAAACTGTCTCCTGGCAACTTTCCACACCATGGCCATGGGAAAGTGAGTGAGAAATGGGCTTTTAGCAGCTCTTTGTTAGATCACCTATTTTCCCTTTATATCTTAAAGTATACAAGATATTTTCCCAAGACTTAGATCTAATGTGGTTGAGCCTTGCTTTGTGACATGAATTTGTGTGAGATTCAGTATGTTATAGTTTCTCTAGGATTATTTTGAATATTCATTAGGATAATGCATATAGATGATATTGCCTATATTAAGAACTCAGTGGTTACTGCTGTTATTGTTAATGAGGATTTATTTGGTGGTTAATAGTTAAAGTTTATTTATTATATGTTGCTTTTTGAGTTTGACTTGTACACATTAGGCCATATCTGTTAATTTATTAGGTTTTGGTCATTTTTTGGATGTCTATATAATGATGATGTTTATAGAAATAAAATGTGTCCTAACTTTAAAATTAATGGCAGAGAATTGACTATGAAACATTAGTTTCATTTTGTATATTTGCTCCCAATTGATCACTAATCATTAAGAATTGTGTTAGAATTAAGACATCATCCTGAAAACATCTAAACATTTCTGTTTTTGTTACCATTTCTGTTTTTGTTATCTAACTTTAAAAAAAACTGCATAGTATTTTTATTTATTTTTTTAAGAGAAAGAATTTATTTGGAGAAAGAAAGTTTCTGTCTGAGAGGGACAGGAGGGGGACTGGAAAGTGGGTTATCTTCCAATCCTGACTCTCAAGGGTGTTTACTGAGTAAAGCCACGAGGTGAAGCAGATTTAAGGTGGGATAAAACTTTAACTGATTGGGCCTGGGGATTTAGCTCAGTGGCATAAGCACCTGCCTTGTAAGCAGGCAGTCGTAAGTTTGATCCCTGGTACCAATTAAAAAAACTTTAACTGATCAATAAGATTACAAGTATAAGCATTTAGGTGCTTGTATAGTCTTTTTTAGATAATTTGGGCTTACATTGAGCAATGGGTATAGTGATTTCCTATATTCTTTCTGCCTGTACACATGTATTGCTTATCAGTCCCCTTCATCGGAGTTTGAGATTTGTTATAATTCCTGGAGTCTTATCAATATATCACTGAGTCCCTAGTTTATATTATAGCATGCTCTTGATGTTTTACATCGTGCAGATTTTTTTTATGTGTATAATGCATGTATCTCTTATGACAGTATTGCGCAGAGTAATTTCAGTACCTTAAAGTCCTGTAATGCTTTTCTTTTCCTTCTCTCACTTCAAGCACTGGCAACTCCTTTTATTTTTACTATTTTGCTTTTCTAGGATGTTATGTATTTAGAATCTTCCAGTGTATCACTGTGGTACAGACTAGCTTGCTTTTGTGCTGTACATTTAGATATCTCTCAGTTCTTTTCATGGAATTAAATTTTATTTAAATGCTAAATAATATTCCATTATCTGTTTCTCATCACAATTATTTGTCCATTTATCTACTGATTGATATATTGGTTGCTGGGAACTTTTGGCAGTTACAAATAAAACTGCTATTAAGCATCTGTGTGTGGCTTTCTGTGCAGCTTTCAACTACTTGGAGTAAATACTAATGAGGGGCTGTATAGTAAGAGTATGTGTAGTTTTCTAAGAAACTGCCACATTGTGTCCTGTGTGGCTGTATGATTTTGCATTTCTAGTTAGCAATGAATAAGCCATACCCTGGGATGTCGGCTAGTGTCTTTTAAAAGGAATTGGCCAATTTCTTGTAGATTATCAAATTCATGGGCATAGAATTTTTCATGGTATTCTTTTATTATCCCTGTAACGCCATGGTTTTATGTTTTTCTTTCATTAGTAATTTGTATCCTTTTTTTTCTTATGTAGCCTAAGAAGCTTATTGATACTTAAAAAAATCTTTGCAGAGAGCTAACCAGGTTTTGATATTATTAGTTTTTTCCCCATTGTTTTCATTTGTATTGATTTCTGTTTTAATTTTTCTTACTACTTCTGCTTATGTTGAATTTTATTTACTCTTTTCTATTTTCCTAAAGATGAAACTTGGGTGATTGATTTTCGATTTTCTTTTCTAATAGCACTCAGTGCTGTTTTTCTCTAGGCACTTTTACTAAGTCCAAGAAATTTTAAGTTGTGCTTTCATTTTCATTTAATTCAAGTCATTTTAAATTTAATGTCTCTTGACACTTTTCTTTGATCTGTGTGTTGTTAGCTGTAGTAATTCATCTATTCTTTGCCTTTCTATTGGTTTTTGCTTCATGTATTTTGAGATTCTGTGTTTAGTACCTATATATTGACCCCATTTAATTCCTGATAATTCTCCATGGTTTGAGATTTCCTGTGTCTGAAAAAGATAGCTACTTTTCTTTTCTTTTCATTAGTGTTACTGTTCATGTCTCTATTTCTTTTAATTATATGCTTGTATATTTAAAGTTGGTTTCTTATAAACAGTATATAAACTGAATCTTATTTCTTCCTTTTTTTTTTTTTTTTTTTGTCTTTTTTGTTTTTATCGGTACCAGGGATCGAACTCAGGACTGCCTGCTTGCAAGGCAGGCGCTTATGCCGCTGAGCTAAATCCCCAGCCCTAGAATCTTATTTCTTGATCTACACAATTTCAGACTTTAAGTTGGTATATTTAGAGCAATAATGTGTGAAACGATAATTGATACAGTTTGTGATAGCCACCATAGTTTTTACTATTTTCTACTTATTATCCTATTTCTTTGCTCCTATTTTTCTCTTCTTTTTGTGGCTTTTGTTGTTTTCATTGAGCATTTTATATGATTCTATTTTCTCACAGTACTAAAAACAAAAATTCCTTCAGATTCCTGGCTAACTCCTAAGCTGCTCATGTGCAATGCAACACTTTAGGAAAACTACTAGGAAAGGAAAGTTAAAGAGCAATGTAGAAATTTTACTCTCTTTGGGGGGTTGAGTATCAATAATTAAGAATTCAGACCTTGCCAATGAATACCTGATGGCCTTCCTTTGAGACCTTATGAAGGTTTTACCCGTGCAATAAGTACAGATTTATATAGATTAGTCCTAATTCCAGTCCTGAAGTGAACCAAGATGATTTGCTTATGTGCTGTTCATGTGTAAATGAATAGTTAATTCCCTTTGTATGAAGATCATATTTTTAAAATCTTTTATTATTTCTTATCCATGATATCAGCTGCCTAATATAAATTGAATATACTAAAATATAGAACAAATTAAATTGAATTTAAAGTGGAAAATTAAAAACAAAAGCATTAATAGATGTGACTGAGATATTGGTGGGCTGGAACTGTACTTTAGTTGCAGAATACGTGTCTAGTGTATGTGAGGCCCTGGCTTCAGTTCCCAGCAACATATACACGCACACATGCATACATGCACACAGAAAGGTGTTGGGGCTATTACTCATGCAGTTTAAGTGATTTTTGTTAACTTTAAGAAAAAAGACACAAAAGTGAAAGATTTCAAAAGATCCCTCAACTATTGCAAAAAAATTAAGTTTTGTAACTCAAAAGTATTAGGGCATAGGTGAGAAGTAAAAATTGGAAAATATGTTTTAAATGCTAATTAAAAGAATGATAGTAGGTCTGTTCTAATATCAAAAGTAAATTGAGACTATAGAGTATTATGAGAAATAAAGAGCCACTTCATAATGATAAAAGTGTCAAATCAAAAAATGCACAGCATAGATAATTCCCACAAATGTCACAGGTGAAAGAGTACTATGCAATTCTATTTATATGAAGTTCAAGAAGAGACTGTAAACTGCGCATGGTGTTTGAAATGAAAATATTGATTATCTGTGGTGGGCATTTGTATTTTCTAGAAAGGGACATTGGATAGCTTTCCATTGGGTACTTTAAATGGGTGGTAGTTACAGGATTATGAATTCATTGAACTCCACACTTCAGATTTCTGTGACTGATAGTATTTTTTTCTTGGTAATCCAAAACAAGTCACTTATAAAACAAAGTAATTATCAAATAAATGATGATTTTAATGACAGTAAATGTTCATTTTAGCCAGTTGTAGATATACTGTATTGTTTCTTGGTAATGACGCTTGGATTTTTTGGATTGGGGAGTACTAGGTAGCGTGTACCATCTTAGGGAAATGCCTGCACAAAGGCAATATTACTGTGACAATGAAAGCCAAACAAAACAAAGAAACTACTCTCCTTATGTATTTTCACATTCCTCTGGATGAACATAATGCTGCTCCTCATTTAGACCTGCAAGCAGAGCATTTTAAGGAATTTCTGGGAACAGAAAGTGAGTTATTTATCAATTAGGGACATTTCTGGCTTACCTTTATTTATTTGGATGTTCAGAAAGATTCTGAAGAGTCTGCCAAGCCCTCCTCAAGATTCTTAGCACCTTATGAGTTTCACATATATATTGTTAATAAGTATGACTTTGATCAGACATTTTTCCTAATTGCATATTTATTTATTGTAACTATCTTTTAACTCTGTCTTTGTTTTTTTTTTTCTTCTGGTACTGGGGATTAAACTCACAACCTTGTGCTTACCAGGCAGGCATTTACACTGCTGAGTTAAATCCCTGTCCTTAACTCTGTGTCTTACAGTCCACTTAATTATTTAAATGTGAATAAAGGGAAAGAAAATAAAAGCTTTCTGATTTTTAGATACAAAGCAATTATTTTGGAATCATTCAGCTTAAGAAAGTACAAGAGATGATCAAAAAACATAGTGAATACTTAAGTAAAGAATTATTACAGTAGAATACACATTGCCATTAATCACCCTCAAATACTCTCCCTCACTTTAGATGCACTCTTTTGATCTTGCCACTTTCTTTTTTTTTTTTTTTTTTTTTTGTCTTTTTCCTTTTTATCGGTACCAGGGATCGAACTCACGACTGCCTGCTTGCAAGGCAGGTGCTTATGCTGCTGAGCTAAATCCCCAGACTCAATCTTGCCACTTTCTAAAGCAGTTCTGGAGGTTCTCTTTCATAAGTGTCTTTGAGAGGTGTGATAAAAAGTGTGAATGCTGCCATTGTGTACCATGCAAGGAATGAAAGACTTGTAGCAACCCCATAGTGTGTCCTCATCCACCTTATTCATAGAATCTGGTACCATGTGGTTTCAGGGTTTTTCCCAGAGTCAAATAATCATGAAAGATAAATGTTTTGAATTAACTCAGGACATCAAGACAGCCATGACAATGTAATTGAAGACATGAACTACTTCAGAAAGTGGCAGGAATGATGGGATAAGTATGTTCAAATGGAGGGGAGTATTTTGAGAGATTAATGGCATTGTGTTTTTAATAAATTGTTAAAAATTTAAACATCATATTTTTTGATCCCATACTTTAATCTTACTGAGACATGTAGTAATACTAATTTGGTTGACTGAAGAAATGAAAAGCATTAATTAAAGGAAAAATGGTAATTTTACAAAAATATGCATTCTTTGACATTTATAAAATGTATTTATACTTGTTTATGGTAAGAGCTCTATAGAGAGTCAAGATTTCTAGCTTGATTTAATATCACTGCATGGGCTGCCAGTCAAAATCTTGTCTGCAGTTGATTATGTATGAGACGTAGTTGCAGTTGATTACGCTCTGAGACTCCTAAAATTTAAAATCAACGTTATTGTTTTCCAGACTTCAAGTAACTTCATGAATACTACAAATTTCCAGTCTCTTCGGCCTTTGCCATCCATTCAGATATTGGTGGATAAAATTAATCTGGAACATTCTGTCCCAATGTACGCTGAACAGTTGGTACATGTGGTCAGCAGCCTTAGTCAGCCTTCTGATAATCTGCTTCATTATTGTTATATACACTGTTATCTAAAGGTACGAAAAGTACATTTTCTTATTATTTAATGTCTATTTCATTTTGGGAGTAATGAATAAAATTACAACTGCAAATTGTAATTTCACCGAAGTAGTAGTCTATTTTACGATTTAAATAAAATGTAACATAGATTATTTAATCATTATTCCAGTATAATTAAAGTAAGATAAAAATATATTAGACTTTTTTTGATTCATTGATTTTTGACTTGGTAGCTTGATGTTTTTAATAAGTTTGAAAATTTTATGTATCATTAATAATGATTTTTATAAGCAGTGTGAAAAAGTCTAATATGGGTGCTTTAGAAGATCCATGATTTTTTTTTAAGGAAACATTTATCTGATGCATAATGTTTATAAAGAGCATTAATATATTTTTAGTTACTTCCTTCTAGTTGAATTTGTACTATCTTGATAAAAGAGAAAAATCTTTATTATTTTATCTGTACTTACTTAAAGTGAATTATTAGAAGCTTTGCCCAGTTCCAGTTTTTTAAAATAAGTAATGTACCTCAGTGTGGATCCACACAAATGTTGAATAATCACTGTTTGTTAAAGCAAATATAGATATATAGTATAGGAAATAGCACATATTTAATCGTTTGTCTTATCAGCAAGAAAGAATTCTAAAAAGTCATCAATGACTAAAAAGATCCCTAATTGAATTTTGAATAAAATACTAAAAGATTAAAGGACTTCCTAAATAGAACCCTTTAATCTGACTTCATGGGTTATATAGTTTAATATTTTAAAGTTCTTCACTGTTTGTATAGTTGTAAAGAAGAGACCAATTTAAAGACAAAAGTTTTAAATTGTCTGTAGTTTAATTTTGAGATGTTAAAATTTTATGTGTTTTCAAAACACATAAAATAGAAGAATGTATTTGCTTGATCTCCTGGTAAATCCCTTTTTCCTAAAGGATTGGAAGAGAAATACATGAGATTGCAAAGTCGTGTGAACATGGAGAAGAGTGCTTTTGGGGGGCTATTGTAATCACCTGCCACAGTGTTTCATGTCTTAGGGAGAGTATTAGAAGATATTTTTCGAAGTTAACTAGATAGAGAATATTTCATGCTTGTGCTTTTTTTACTCATTCTCCCAATACCCAGAAGTGTATGATGTTTTAAAGTGTTGATATAACCTATTATCAGATTGACGTGTATTTTTAAAATAGTAGGTGTCATTTTAGGTGTTTTACAATCTTTCAAACATTCTACTTATATAGATTTTACCCATTTTTTAACATTTTTTTTCTATATTGAAGACATTCAACTTTCATGATAAAGAAGGTGTAACCCTATCTTCAAAGAAAATGGTGGTCAAAGTCTTTGGTTAACAGTATAGTTACCATTCTTACTGACCAGAGTTACTAGAATATTTGTTCATCACTTCTCTTTGTTAACATGTTAAAACCTGGTTAAATTTTCTGTATAGTGAAAAAGTTATTTCCATATAGTTATGTGTTAGAAAAAGGGCTTTTGGTACATACAATTTAATTTTATTTTTTGATCACTTTGACTTCAACTTCATTAGGTGAGTTATATAGCTACAGTTAACTGAAAGTATTGGGCAGAGTAGAAATAGTATAATGTAGGAAAACCATTCATTGGCATTAAGAATATTGACTATTAAAAACAAAGGAATCCTTGACTCCTGGTTGTTTTTAATAATTCATTTCATTTTTGATATTTCTTAGTTCATTTTAATTCTTTTGGGATTTGGTAAGAATTTTCATTTATATTATTCTTGAACTAATACTTCTACTTTATATTACTCTTGAACTCAAAATTCTAATTTGTTGTAAAGTTAACAGCAGTTTTTACTTATTAAAATGGTTTCAGTAACTTTTAAAGAATTTTCAAAATTTCATTTGTAGTGTTACAGTGCTTTTATACTACAGTAGAGGGTTTTTTGTCATATATGTTTGACATTTTCAGTAAACTTTAATTATATACTTAAATGTTTGAGTTCTGTGTATACTTTGTATTAGCTGGTGGTGGAATGAGTTATAATTATCAATTTATGAAATTAAACTTATCAGTTGGGAGGGTTAGCATGGATGTATATAGAAATTATGAAGATGAAATTTTATTTTGACAGTAAAATTGTATAGGTTTATCATGTTCAATATGTTTTATATGTATTCATTACAAAATGACTTAAGCTAATGAATGTATATATTATCTCATATAATTATGGTTTCTGGTGAAAACTCTTACAATCTCACTAATTGTACTCATTACTGTAGTCCTTAAACAGTTGTCTCTCTTAAACTTATTCTTTGTACTAAAATTTTGTATCTGATGACAGTATTTTCTCAGTCCCTGTCCCCAGAATCAAAAGTTGCCAATGCCTTCTCATGGCCTCTTCATTCATTTGGCAAACCCACTCTTTGAGTATGTATAACATTGAATAACTTAAACACTGCAAAGCATCTAATACTTGAAACACATGTAGAAAATAACTTATGTGAATGCATACTATAAATTGTGGAAGAGTATATAACTTTATGACTTTGTTATTCATAAGGATCAGATACAACATGTTTCTGAGAGTTTAAGAATGTTTTAGAATCAGAATCTCTTGATATTTTATCAAGAGATCAGTAATATTAATATCATTAATTTCTGATCTCAAGTAAACAGGGATTTGGAAGAACTGAATCTTTTATTCACATCTCTTTGGTATATAAATTGTTATAATAATTTTGCAGAGTTATCAGGTCCAATAAATTTGTAAGCACATTTATCTTAATAGTCATTATTTCAGTTTTCAGGTTATACCTTAGAAATTATGCAATTGTATATTTCTGATTTATGCCAGCATCAAACTATTTTGATTACTATTTTAGCTATTTTTCTCATAGTTGGGACACAATACCCAACACCCACAGTTTCAAGAAGAAAATGTTTACTTTGGTTAACATTTTGTATTAGTTTCAGTCTGTAGTTGATTGACTCTAAAGCTGCTAGGAAGAGAAAAAGAAACCCAACTTTGTCTGAAAGATGAGAAAGTAAATATTTTTAGTTTTTGTGGGCCAATAGAAAAAAAATTGAAGATTATGTAAGTACTTAAAGAGAAAAAAAGTTTCCATGATTTATGAGTTGACAACATTCAAACTGTTACTAATTAAAAGAAACGTTTTTGGTAATACAATTTTATTAGTGAGAAGAATAGAGTTCTTTTTCTTGGGATAGCATTTTATATAGCTGATGTTCCAACTCTGTAATTGCACCATTACACTGATTATAAATATTTATATATAAGCAAGTGATTTTTGACAAGCATGATAAGACTGCTGAGAGGGAAGGATTTTCTTTTTAACACCTACTACTGGAAAGCTGAATGTCAATATGCTAAAGAAATGAACATGGATCTTACCTCACATCACACAGAATGATTAACTCAAAATTATTCAGAGACCTGAATGTAATAATACTTTCAAAAATATTTTATTCCTTTTTATGACTGAATTATAACATTCCATTTATGGATGGACCATATTTTTTTTTACCCATTTACTGCTTTATGGATATTTGGGTTATTTTTATTACTTGGCTATTATGAATAATATGCTTATGAACGTTCATGTCACATTTTTATGTTTGTTGGATGTACAATAGCAGGGTATGGGATTACTGTATAGTAACTCTTTTTATTGTATTTAGCAGTCGCCAAACTTTCTTCCCGAAGATTGCCCCGTTTTATATTTAAGCAGTGATTAAATAAGAATTCATATATTCTCACATCCTTATTAACACTTGCAATAGTCTGTCTTAATTTCAGACATCTTAACAGTCGTAAAGGGGCATCTTGTGGTTTTGAGTTTTATTTCCAGAGTAACAGTGCTCAGCATTTTATTTCTCATGTTTATTGCATATTGTCCATTTGCATATCGCTTGTGGAGAAATATTTACTCATACATCTTTTGCTTATTTTAAAATTGAGTTATTTCATTCCTATTGTTGACTTACAAATATTTGTACATTCTGAAGGTTTTTACATCTTTAACCATGTAGATGACAGCATGATTGTAGTAATATTTTTTGAAGCAAAATCACCAATATTTATAGTATAGTCTTTCTGGTTTAAGTTGGAGGTGGGATAGAGACAAAATCCTTCTTAATTTTCCCCATCTGAGAAAAATGTTGTGTCAGTTTCTATCCAGGTTTTCTTTTGTTTCAGAAATTATATAAATGAAAACTACATTGAGGAGAGTTTCTGCCAGACGAGGCTATTCATTTAGGACGGTCACTAATGAAAGGCAAGCAAAATTTTACTCATAGTTGAAGGAGAAGAGATGGCAAAAGATTAAATACAAGATTTATTTTGTCTTAGAATAAGTAGAGAACCAGCCATTCTTTTTTAGGAGAGAGGAAGAAGAAAATTGAAGCAAGAAGGAAGACTAGATAGAATTGAGCTAACAGATGAGCTAAATGAAATGAAGCATTATTTTGCTGCTTCAGTGATACCTAATTCTGAAGACATCTTTAATCCTTTTTGTACTTCATTATTCCTGTAAATGAGATGATTGAGTCAGATATTTACGCAGTTTTAGCTTTAAAATTCTGTAGTTAGTTCTGGTTCTCTTACTCCTTCCTAAATGCCTTTGCTGTGGAATGCATTCATTATTATGTTATATTATTATATAGTTCTAATATTCAGTTTTTATATGTTTCAGTATATTTCATACAGAACAGTTTTTCAAGGCAGTGCTTACTTGTCCTTTAATCATTATATTGTATGGGTTACAATGACAACATGAAAATAATTTTTTATATCACTGTTTCTACTAGCATTTATAATTAATATGTACTTTTTATATTTATCTGTTTAAATTTGTAAATCCTAATTTATTGTGATTTTGTTGATAAAAAGTTGTAGAACTTTTATAACTTTTAAAATTTCTTTTAGTTTTAGTTTCTTTTTGAGATGTTAGTTCAAGAACATTTGTCATAAAATAATAAAATACTGTTATGGGGTACACATTTGTAATCCTAGAGCTTGAAAGGCTGAGGTAGGAGGATCACTGCAAGTTCCAGGCCAGTTTGGAATACAAAGGGAGTTTAGGGCCAGCGTGAACTGCACAGTGAAGCCTTGTTTCAAAAAAGGAAAAAAAATTTGGGTCATAGTTATTTTTATCTTTTACTAATTTTTTTTTTTGTTTAGTGGCATTATATTTTAACTTTCATTTAATGTGATGCTTATGTCATCTTGTTCAAATTTATGCTTACTTGAGGTGAAGTTTTTGTTGATAGTTACACATAGCTGCTTTATACATTTTTACTGGTTCAGACTGTTAGTTTTCAGCATCCCCCAAGCTTACTACGTTTCAGGATACGTGTACTAACCTTCATGAAAGGAACTTCCTTTCATACTTGGCTGGTTTTCTTTTTTTAAGATCCAAAGTTTTATAATCTTGGTGAAACAGCATTGAAAAGTCACTAGATTATATAAGTATTTTAAATCTGTATACCCATTTGGTATGATTTAGAAGAGGTGAACATTTATACTGATATAATTGTTTTTGATATGGTAGATAGGAAGGGCAATGTGATGTTATACATATATTTTGGCTATATATAGAAGTTAATATGTTTAATAGAACCTCTGTTTATAATTTTTACCTGATTGAATGTTTCCTTAATAGCATATGTGGAAAACATGTAAATATAACACAGTATTTTAAAAAATTACACATTTATATGCAGTTTTGCCCCAACTCCTTTGCAGTTCTCCAGATAACCAGCAGGGGATCTCCTCTTCACCCAATTCCAGTGCCATTACTAATGGCAGTGTCTGATTGTACTGTTGGAGATTTATTAGGACATAAGAAACTAGCTTGAAGAGAGTTCTTGGTTGAATGAAGTATGATGTGGTGAAATGTTATCTTTATTACTAGAGGTATTTATTTGGAGGTTAGGCATGTTTTGATAATTATGTTTTATATTATTACATAATTATAAATTTCACAATTATTTAAATACTGGATCTTGGTGAGCAAATATGAAATTCCAGGATTATGCAGGCCCCCGCCCCCCACATTTCTTTGTTAACACTGTTGGTCAAAACAGGTAGGTCTTCGGAAAGAACAAATGTGTGCTAAATTAAGTTTTAAGTTAAGGTTTTAAGTAATCATTTTGACATTCAAAACATAGCTCTTTCTTTTTTCTTCTCAGTTTTGTACTTGCCAATCTGTTGTTAACAGCAAGATGTGCATAGTTAATATTGTAGTTATATCACTTTAATTTTCCTTGAGTGTAATTAAATAAAAATGTCCTTTTAAATGCAATTTTCTTTGAAAATGTAGTTCTTAATGTCTTAACATTATAAGTTGATAAATGTTAGGGACATAATAGAATTTTGAAACTATTTGGGTACACCTTAAAACTATAAATGTATTTATGTTTAGCCTAGAGCCTCCTTTTTGGGCAGTTGCTCTATCATTGAGCTATATTCACTTTTAGCTCTGTTTTTTAGTATTTGATCTTGTATTATAATCATTGAGTAAATGTACTGTATCTGAAAATGTTGTTTTTACAGTGTTTATTAATTAATATTAGTCCTGGAGATTGAGTTGATAGCTGTGAAATCAGGTGGAATGTAAACCCAGGGATTAAAAAATAATTAAAGATAAATGTTGAGGTTACGTTGCTTTGAATGTTATTAGGAAGCAATTGTGTCAGTCTTTCAAGTATGACATGTTTAATTTTATTGCATTGGAAATAATTACAGCAGAAATATCAGTTCTGTGCAATGTTTGATGTAAAATATATTGTCTTTCTATTAAGACAGTTACCGTGCCCAGGAAAAGTAGGAATTGCTTATACAATTTTTTAGTGTGATCTGCTCATTTTAAGTGTAAACATAGAAAGAGTAATTTATACCATGTACTGAATTTTCTGGAGTGTAAAACTGTACAATTATTTTCACAAAAAAAAGGAGAAGTAACAATTCAAGATATTATTGGATATCCTTTTTTGACTGAATAGTGAAAGTTGAAGGCAAAATACGTTTTTAAGATTGTTCTCGAACTTTATTTAGATGCTGTTGACACTAGTTTATTTAATTTCTAATTTATAGTGGAGAGAATGCATTCAACTATATATGGAAAATTTGTATTTCATCAGATATTAAAACACTGAATTTTATATATAGAAACAAAATGTGAAACTTGAAAAAAAGTCAAAAGCAGTGATCTTTTAGGAATGTGAAAGAAATACTGCAAGTGTAGATCTCTTAACTTTAATGTTAAATGGAGTAAAAGAAAACGTTGATCATTTCGCAAGTAGAAAAAAACATCGGAACATATTGTGCAGCTGTTGTACAGCAATTTGAAGCTGACGTATTTCATCCTGTGCTTGTTAAAACTTTGTGGACATTTGGATCTTTTCTTTTTTGTTTCAGATATTTGGTTTTCAGGCAGGACTAACGTCTTTGGATTGCAATGGATCATATTGCTTACCTGTGCCAATTATTCCCACCTTTAGCACTGCACTTTATGGTAAATTACTAAAACTCCCCACTTGCTGGTAAGTATTACATGTTAAAATGTGTTTATGTTTCTTTTCATAATTTCAAGAGGGGATAAAATCAAATATATCTGTCCGGTGCCCATATGTTTTATGGAAAATTTTAAAAGACTGAAGATGCAGTCTTTTACTTGAAACTCTACAAATCTTTTAAATGTCTGAAATGTGTTCATTGTATTTTTGTTGTTATAATGTTGGGAGAGTAACTGTTAATCTGTGTTAGAGATAGAGTAAAATGTTGCTGCTTCAGAGTGTAATTTGGAACTGTAAGAGCAAGTACCTTTTTCTTTGAGAGAGCATATAAAGATTTAAAAAAAGGTTTCAGTTAAAAATTTAGGGCCAATGCTTTTGTCTATTAAATAATTTTTATACATATTCATGGTCACTGAGTAAATTGTACCCTTACATAAAGTTTAGTTATTATCTGACATCTTCACTAGCTACATTTTAGAAGGAATTGATCTTTAGTTATTGCATTTAGGAATGAATTGCCTCATTTGGAGATCATATTTGCTTAAACTTAGAAATTTATAGAAAGCAAAGCAGTATTTGCTAATCATATGTTTTTAATTAAAAGTAGTACTTTCATAAAAGTAGTTTAAATTTATGAAATAAAATTTATCTGAAATTTTCTATTAAGATTTATTAAAATTTATCTGAAATTATTTTCTATTTTAAAATTGAAATAAATTATTTAGAATATATCTTTACTTTTTTCACCTTTAATTAGTAACCTTATTTTTTTTGGAATATATTTTCCATTATTTTTTTACTATAAGTGGCACAATTTTTGGAAAAAAATATTATTTTAAAATTAATTGTTATTTTAATAATATGTAGCTTTTAAAATAAAATTAATAACATGAATGCATCAATTTCAAGGAAAGTTACTTACTGAGCCAGAAAATTTGAAGTAAACATAGAAATTAAAAAAGGTTTGTAATAAATTGTTGGATAAAATGAAGACATTAAAAGATGATTATTCACTCTCTTAGTAAATTTCCTTTTTCTTTCTGTTTCCATATTCTTTCTATGTCATTTATTATGTTATTTAGCTGTGGGTTTAACTTTTTATTTGCATGTACTTATAATATTGAATATTTATGCCAATTTAATATTCTAAATTATAAGAAATATCATTGGATTTATAATAATTGATCAGTCTCAATTTTACTGAATATCTCTGAAAACTATCATCTCAGTTATGTGCTGATTTAGTTGTTATTTGCAAGATTAAAATAATCTTAATAGTGCTGTTTTCTATGGAAAATTCTTAATTTCCTCAAAATGTCCAAAGTTTCCAAAATGAATTGCTCATTTTATATGAAAGTATTAAATACTTAAATACATGATGTTTATTCTAAGAAGGTGTAAGTTTTACTGCAAATATTGTCATGTGTGATCTAAAATATGTCTGCAAATATCTGGAAGAATGTACTTTTAAGTGTTGCATACTAAAGACAGAACGCTAACACTTGAATGTGTTCTGTTTTTATTCTAGGTAAGACCAGTAATATATTCTCTGTAGTTTACATAACTATACTACTTTTTATTTCTTTAAAAATGTTATCTTTGGTAGTTTTAGCAACTCTTAATTTGAAAATAACAAATATAAAATTCAGTAAAATGAAGTGTTAGTAAGTGCAGTTTGAAGTTAATAGAACACCAGACAATATAATTATATTGTACTTGAATTAAATAAAATCTTGAATTAAGTGAAGACTGAGAGTTTTATTTTACTCTCAGGATTATTTTAGTAGAACATCCATACTACATCATTTAATGTCAATTCTGTTTGTACTCACTAATGAAGAAACAATATTATCAGTATCTTAAAGTGTCTTCTCCTTCTCCCGCATGTGAAGTTAATCACTGTCTTGGTTTCTGATAGCATAGATTAGTTTGATTGTTCTTGTATTTAATATAAAAGGAATTACATGACTTATATTCTTCTTTGACTAGTTTTGGTTGATTAATATGTGTGACATTCATCCAAATTGTGGAATGTAGTTTTTTCATCATTTGCTTTTGTTGCCGTCAGTATTCCATTGTGTGAACATTGATAATTTATAAGTTCTTGACCTGAAATTTCAGTTTGAAAGTAAAATTTCTGAAAGTTGTGTAAATTTCTTTTTGGGGGTGGGGTTTGCATAGGGGTTTGATAGGGAATGGAACTCGTGATTGCATGCTTGTCAGGCAGGTGCTGTGCCACTGAGCTATATTCCTGGCCCTGTGTGTTTCTTTATTGTTCTTTTACCATTTAAGAAGCTTCAGTTTTATTAGGGAGATTAAATGCCATTCATTGAGCATTTTTCAATTATTTGTAATTATGATTGGCATTGTGCTCTTTGTCTTGAGAGCTTAAAGTGTGCTTCACTGTTCTGTTTTTAATAACTCATAGTTTGATAGGGACCACAAATCTCAAGGTGAGTATTTATAACACTCCTGGTGATAGATCTTTTTTCTTTCCAAATCTGTTTGTGTTCATCTGTCTGCTTTTGTGGTTAACATTGTCTTGAAACTGAATGTTTTTAAAACTACTAAGAGTGAACCTGTATGTTAAGTCTCCTATCTCTACCTCAGTGACACTAGGGTGAGTTTTAGTATTGTTTATTCTGGTATTCAGTATACCCTTTCAAAGAATGCTTTGAACTGAAATGAAACATATTGACATCATTTAAAACAGTCTTCTCATTTTAAAGATGAGAATACTGAGTCCCAGTAAGGTCAAGCTACTGGTTCAAAAGGATATTAACGCTTCAACTTGATCCTGTCCTCTTGTGTCAGCATCTTTCAGCTGTGCAATATTGCTTTAACATTATTTTTACTATTGTAATAAAGCATACATAAATTTTGTATTGTAACTGTAAAATTCAGTGATATTATAAGTATATTCACATTGTTGTATAACTACATTCATTCACCTGTAGAACTTCTAAATTTTATATCATTAAAAATTAGTTCTGCATTACCCCCCCTTTAGTCCCACTACTATTTTTTTCTCTATAAATTTGACTCTTGTAGGCATCTATATAGGTAGAATCATCATTGTTCTATGTTTGTCTTTTGTATCTGCCTCATCACTTAGCATGTTATTCATTCATGTTACAAGTATATATCAGAATTGTAGTACTTATCTATTTATTCATTGAGTAGTTCTTTTGTGAGGGGGAATTTTTTGTGTGTGTGTGTGTGTGTGTGTGTGTTAATTTTCCTCTAACCACCAGTAAATACTTGGAATCCTCCAGCCTTTTGGTAATGGAAGTTATGCTTCTGTGAACATGTGTTCAACTGAATCTCTGCTTTCATTTCTTTTAGTTATATGCTTAGATGTGAAATTGCAGGATCATGTACTGTATTTAGTTTTTTGAGGACTGTTACTGACTTCCACAGTTGGCTCTCGCATTTTATATTCCTAATAGCAATGTAAAAGGGTTGAATTTCTGCATATCCTGGTGCACACTTACTGTTTTCACTTTCAATAATAGCTGTCCTAATGAATGTGAAGTGGTGTCTCATTGTGACTTTAATGTGTATTTCCCTAAATAGTGATGTTGAGAGTCTTTCTATACACTTAATTTACCATTTCCGGCTTTGAGAAAGTGCTCATTGAAATTGTTTGTCTTGTTTTTGGTTTTTTTAAATTGTTGAGATTTAGATGTTCTTTAAATGTTTTGTGAGTTAACTCCTTTTCAAATACATGATTTGCCAGTGTTTTCTGCCTTTCTGTGGGATCATACTACTTTTAATGTTAAGTTTATCTTAACTATACTCTTTTCATACCTCACTTACATCTTTTGCTTTTTGCCTAGAATAGTTATCCTTTTAAATGCAACGTAGTTTTTTTCCTTAACAATTAGTGTCATTTGACTAGGTAGAAAATAGTGAAGTGCATATTTGGTATAGTTCTACTTAAATGGTAGAGCTAGAAATGGGGATGAATTTATTAGAATTCCTTGGATTGTTTACAAGCTTATTTTGCAGATATGTTTGTGCTTTCCTTTTATATAAATGGGTGTCATATAACAGCTTTTCTGCAGAAAGATTTTTATAACTTTCTACAATATAGAGAGATCTGGAGATCTTTTTCTAACTATATTAAACACTTTAATAGAGCTCAGTACTTAATATATAGACATGAAGTTTATACTACTAAATGGAACAAAAACTACATTAAATGGACATTTACCTTATGCCTTGTTGCAGGTGGCGATAGCAAAATACCATAAATGAGTGGAAACTGATAACAGAAATGTATATTTCTTTGTTTTCAGGAAGAAGTCATAGGTAAAGTTATTGACTAATTAGTGAGAGCCTACTTTTCTGATTCAGCCAGACACATTTTTGATGTATCTTGAAATGGTAAAGCCAGGAAGTAGCTCTCTCGAGGCTATCTTACAAGCATATTTTTTTAAAAATAAAAGTATTTTTTAAGATGATTAACGAGCCAGGGACAAGAGGATAGATAGGTTAAGTAAATTTAAAAGAATATAGTGGTCCTGAATTTCAATAAAAATCTCTAGTAACTTTTTCTGATATGATTGTCTGCTTTTTCATAATATTCATTCGAGTCTATTTTACACATTCATGGGGAGTGACTGTTAAATGCTACTCACTCTGCAGGGGTCTGACTGGAGGTACATCAATGAGCAGTAGAGGCAGATGACAGTAGAAAATACATTTTTTAATTAAAGGAATTTTAAAGAGAAAAATTTATGCATTGCAGATTGTCTTTTAAAATCTCATTGTATTATTCTTTTTGCTATACTGGGTCTTGCAAGATGTTCACTTTGTTTCAGGCATAGTATGTTTTGATATACTGAATATTTTTCTATTCACTTTTTCTCAAGGATTCATGTTTGAACTGAAAATCATCTGATTAGGATTAGAGGAAGTAAAAGATTTTACATATAAATGAAAGAACTTTTGCATAAATTGATATATCATTGTTTCACTTTCCAGCTTTCAAAAAACATTTTCCCATTACTATTGAATTGATT